AGTGTGTCGGAGCAAAAATCTTTTGAAATGGTGTGTTTGAAAAGTTGGCCGATTTATGCTATTTATAGCATGATGACATAGACCTTGCCCAATCCAAATAGTCACCTGTTGTTCTGCAACACAACGAGTGACTATCTGGAGAGACCCTGATGTTATTAATCGCGCGACTTAGAAGATTCTACGATCAATGTGAATCTGCTGATGATCTTACATAGTGAATGCAGGGAAAAAACTGGCGTACCAAATAAATTTACAGTTTGACGAAACCCAATGGTGACAGTTTTAATTTTAAATAATGCTTGTTTTGACGGATATGATTCATATTGATATTAATATAGGTACCTCGTAAGATTTGCTAAAAAATGAGCATATGATGAAAAAATGCCCCGAGCTTAATAAAAACAAAATTTTATCGTCAAAATCTTCATGTTATTATTAAGAGGAAAGATTAAAGGATTTTTTTAAATTGTTTTATTTTTATTCTTTTTAGAACCTTCAAGGTTTTGGTCATTTTTTTCTTTTAGTATAGGATTAGTTTTAACGGCAGTTTGTGGTGAAAAACACATTTGGAAATTCATAGATAGATAGATAAATACCATAAAAAATTTGCTAAAAATATGAGCAAACATGATCAAAAAATGTCGAAAACTCAATAAAAACAAATTATTATCATCAAAATATCTACATTATTATTAAGAGGAAAGACCAAAGGATGTTTTGACGGAAAAATTATTTTTTAAATCCTTTTTAGAATCTTCAAGCTAAAAATTTTGTTTCTTTGTCGTCAAAGGCAGATCATAAGTATTGGTTTGGTCTGTTTGGTTTGGTTTGTTTTGCGGCATATCAAAACTTCAATGGGTTATTTAATGCCGACAACATTTTTATTGCGGGTAATATTTTTTCCAAAAATGTATTGCTGGTAATAATTTTTCCTTCAAAAAATGTATTGTTGGTATTAAAACATATTTTTTACACTTTCATAGTGTTTTGTCACAAGTTTGGGGGTTAACTATTTACCCACAGCTGGGACCCTAACAGGTGCTACCATTCTGGGTCAGGGTGGACCTGGGGACACCAGCAATTAAGAGGTTGTTCCACGCTCCTCAAAACCTCCTGATCAGAGGCCTTGCTGTCGGACGTATTTTATCGTCTTACCCAGGGCGCAGATGTAGTTTATCGTCATACCCAGGACGACCATAAGCATTGAAAATTTCAGCGTCTTTGTGCGGTAAAAACACATTAATTTGGAAATTCTTGCAAAAATCAAATATTTGTCGGATTTTAATTAACCTTTCAGCACTTATTCACAACTTAATGAAATTATTTATAAAATTTTTCTTTCTTAAAAAACCTTATTAGAAATATTTTTTTACATTTTTTATCCTACACTTATTTAATTTTATGAAATTTCAAGAAATTCCTTTTTGTAGCGTTTAATGTTTGTGTTTGTTATAAGGACAAGTCCTAGGAGAATTTAAATCATCAATTTATTTATTTTTGTCAAGCCGGATCCACGGTTACTGTAAAATAAAAGATGCAATAAAATGAAAACATTATTTAATTAGAAATGCTTTAAATTAATTTTATTATGGACACTATTATTTAAATTAATTTTATTATGGACACTATTATTTTAAGAAAAGAAATTCAATGAATAATAAATTTTTTCGAGAATGTTTTTTTATCTTTTAAAAATTTTTAATTTAGAAACGTTTAAATCTTTTAAAATTATGTATTAATTTGTATCGCTCAAGTGATATCTTTATTAAACATAAACAATATTTGCTAACCGTATATGGAAAAGTAATTTTAAAAGAATTTAGCAATTTTTTGTTTGTATAAACATGCCGATTTTTGTGAATATTGACATCCATACAGAACATTATCAAAAAATGAGAGCGGTGACTATGGAAGATTTAACATTTATTAGTAATTTTATAACATTTCTTTAAGATTTGTCTTCGCTAGTAAGACTATAAAGTTAAAGTACTTAAAATTCGATAAAATATTAGAATGTTTAAAATATCTAAATTTTAAAAGATTACTGGGTAGATAAAAAAGGCGTTTACGTTGTATTTGTCTTTTAATTTTACTACAAGTATTTCCCCCTTACGTAAATCTCACAAATATAGATAAATGAGTCAACACCTCATAAAACCACCCACCTCAGTGTTAAATGATTTTTGCGATATTTTAAACTATGGATAAGTAATATTTGTTTAAATTCAGATTAATTAAACATTAAATCAGTCTTCAGCAAATATTTTTTTTTTAAATTAAGAGAATAATGTTGTGTTGACAGATTTGCCATTATGGCCAATTTCAGCGATTTTAGCAGTTAAAAAAAAAAAAAAAACTCATTCCAATCAATTTAAATTCATTTTAAAAGTTGAGTCATAAGTAACATCTATTTTGGGGAACCAATTGCAATGACGAACGTATCCTCCTAACTACTAAACATACGAAGCAGTTAAGGATAAATCTGGAGCACACTAATCTACGTTAGTTTTTCACGGCAGTTATAGCGTACACAGATGATAAAATAATAAATTGTGATGTGTTTCACATCACAATCTACTATATGCCAACATTTAAGTCAACAAGTTGGTTGTTTGGATTCCATATTTTCCTAGTGAAAAGAGAAAACGTCTTGTTTATGCATAAGTACTCGTCTTCTTTCTCAACATAGAAATAACCCATTCCTTAAATATATCATATTAGGTGATTAAAAACGGATTACAATGTTCAACGCAAAAGGAATTAGATAAATCACCTCAACCAACCCTAAAAGGTAATCTCCATCGATGACAGGTAAGTGTGTGAAAGGATTCGGGATATTATTAATTTAAAACGCAATGAAATACTAAATGCACATTTATACGTTGAGCAGCTGCAACCTGTCCATAAAAGTTAGGTCAAACAAGCGCCCGGCCATAGTCGGTAGGAGCAATGTTGTTGTTGTCTTCCATGACAACGCAAGGCCGTATACAGCAAGGATATCACAGGAAAAAAGTTGGGAACACGGTTACTTTGTTCTGCCCAACGCACCATATTTACTTGATCTTTCACAAACCGATTATTACAGTTTCCGACTGCTGCAAAACGCTTTTAACGTGGAAACCCTTCTCTGACGAAAACCAGATTCAAGAGATCGTTGTAAATTTTTCACTTCAATTCTGCGGAATTTTGATAAAAATGGTGTTAAGTGACAACAAGTTACTGAAAATAATGGCGACTATATAGTTGAATAAAATTTTTTTAAAAAAATGTCTTTTTAAGGAAAAGAATAATAAATAAACCAAAATGGATATTGCTTATGAGTTAGGATAAAATACAGGGTGCGATGGATAATTTGTCGCCTAAATTGCAC